GGGGGGGGGGGGGCGTAGATTATGACTCGATGCAGAAAACTCAATAATCTGAAGTTTTAAACTGAATTCTCAACGTTATGAGCGCCTGTAATAATTCAGTGACACCGGGCTGTCCGTTCCTCACCGCTGCCCCTGAACGCAACAGACGTGACACACGTGCATCTTGTTTACGTGCTAAGCTAGGCTAAATGCTAGCAGAGTTTTGGTGAGAGAGTTGGATGCTCAGTACCCATAATAGGAGGATATGTTGCTTATTATTTATTGGTGAATAGGATCAGCTCTCTATGTCAAATGACTGAGGACATGCTGAGTTGTGTGTTTACTACAGGATGCTGCTACAGTCTCCATCTGATGTATGTTCCTGTTGGTTCTCTTTGCAGTGCTGAACTGTGACCCTCCAGTTTATACAGCTCTTCTATGTGTTACTAATGATGAAGTAATAACAGATAATGGAAGTAAATTCACCTGTTTCCTTAATTATGAATCATTACAAACGTGCTGTGTTTTATAAAACAGCAGATAGTCAGTGAGAGATAAAGAAATGCACTGACCTGTGAGGTTTTCCTCAGAAGCACAGTATGCTGCAGACAATCGACCATCACAGCCAACACCTGGAGCAAAGCGAGTCTCTGGCCTTGCCTCGCAGACGGAGCCAGCAGCCTCTGTTCCACCTCCACAAGTGTCATAGTTGACACGTCCAGCTCTGGTTCATCTTCCTTGTCTCCATCTGCTGCAGCTGACCAGCCAGCCATCTCCTGCAGGAGAAGCAAGTCAAATGATGGACTGTCGACTGAGGTCACCTTCTCTTCCAAGTGAAAAAACAAACAACTGAAGCACTGTACAATAGAATACAATCTGCACACACTACGACCTCAAAATGGCCACAGATGTGAACAAACTTCTCCACCACAGTCCAAGCATAACTAAACACAATGGGAGTATGCATCACACTGGATTGAATCATGTTTTACAGGCGTGTGTGTGTGTGTGTGTGTGTGTGCGTGCGTGCATGCGTGTGTGCACCTTACCTGCAGCAGGTCAAGGAAGAAGTCTCCAGGCAGGTCACAGTCTTTGAGTTCAGACAACAGTTGCATAAGACACTCCAGCCTCCACTGCTCTCCTGACAGCTTCTCATACAGAGCATCGTCCTCTTCACTGGGAGACAACAAGAGAGAAGTGAGGGATGACACTGAGAAACCAAGAGAGCCCAGTTATACTAACAGGCATCATAGCTTTGAAGGGGGAGTGTGATAAATAAAGGGCGTCTCTTTTACTGATTGGCCCAAAACATCTGGTACAAAAGGGTACTGTGCTATTCTAAATCATGTATGTCCCTGCTGGTCCTATCCTAGGTTTAGGGACGACATGTCCATCATGTGTTTCTGTGTGTCATTCACCTGAATGTCTCCCTGGAGCTCAGTCTGGCTCCTCCATCACTGCCTGGGGCGAAGTGGAAGTCTGCTGCCACCTCGTTCTTCTGTCCCTGCAGACCTGAGAGCTGCCTTAGTGCTGACAGGGCCGCAGACGTCTCAGCGTGGCTCAGGTACCACAGCAAGACCTCCTGACAGGGGGCGCTGTGGAGCACGGAGCACACAGCTCATTTTCAGTCTCCTACTTTAGACTCACTACGATTCATGCATACTTTACGTTTCTGTGGACTATTTTCTACACACCAACACCTTTCTGAAATGATTTTTCTGGCAGGCAGCCTTTTTGCATAATCATGTCATGAGTTCATGAAGTTTCAAGCTCTCCAGCATGGAGAGACTGTTTAATTAGACTGGCTGTTCTATATTTCTGTAATTGGCAACAAACCCCAAACACCCTTGTGTTAATCCATCTCTCGATGCTTTCATTTCCCGACCTCGTCTGTGGCTGAAGACTAACGGCCTCGTTTGGTCTGCACTTTCAGACTTCAGTCATTTCCTAAACTTCCTCCCACTGCAGCTTTAAGCCAAATGTTACTCAAACAGAACACATGAGCACATTTGTTGCGGACTATATTCAGCAGTGGATTAAACCACATCTGTGCTCGAGCAGGACAGTGTATGTGTATTTGAGTCAGAATAAACTAGTGTTTGGGTTGATAGTAATGAAGGTCACGAAGAGCCAAAAAGTGGCTCATTGATGAGTTTTTATGAGCTTTTGTACTCATAATTAAAGAATCAGTTGGTTTTACTTTGGCAAAAAATAGACTGCGATGAATGTCTTAACAATACCCTGTTGTAGTAAAATAATGAATAATGTCAACATGCTTTTTACATGTATTGTTAACAGTTTGTTCTTTCAGCTGGAGGGGTGTGTCTGCATGTGATTGACAGAAGCTGGCAGGCTGTTGTTGCGCTGTAGCCTTCATGTCGCGGGCAGACAGCGGGTTGTCAGCGGTACTGAACAGTTAGCACCACCGCAGCATCTAACCGGACCCACGGAACATTTAAAGGTATGTTTACTCGGGTGGGGTGAAGGCAGAGGCTACATTCCGCTGTGCTATGTTTACTGTGTGACAATAAAAGTAGACTTCCATCCGTTGGGTTTAAACATGGTACAGTCCTTCTTGAAGGTCTACTACCTGTACTTTGTGGAAGTAAGGCTGTATTCCTTGTTATTTCTGAGAGTAACGGTGTTTGTACATAAACACTCCCACTAAAAGAGAAACACATTACCGTAGGTGGGAGACGTTCTGCTTGGTGAAGCAGAAGAGTGTGAAGAGAACGGGGAGAACTTGTTCCAGAGCTTCAAGAAGAGAAGCTGACGGACTGTTTCCAACCACCCAGATCTGACGGCAACGAGAGACACAACAGCAGAGACCATGTGTGAGAGGCATATTAAGGGTTACACACACAGTACTGGCAGGCAACATCAGTGTTACTACACCATAATAACCAATAACATCAATAGAATTATCATTATTCAGAAGATTTGTGATTTAGTTTGTCAATGCGAACATCTGTCTCATTTACAAAACTCAAGGCTGGACAGTCCTTAAATATTATGAATTACTCATTTCAACAGACCTCAACGCATTATGATCAACCGGCTGTATGTTTACAGGATCCAATGAATATCATTTAGCTAGTTTTATTATTCATTAAGACACCATGCAGAGCACTGAGCAGAGATCTCATTCCTGCATATTCTAGAGAAATAATTCCATTGGATTCTTTTCATGAATATTACTCACAAACACACAGTCTCTTTGTACATGGTCTCTTTGCCCCCCTTACCAATGTGCTATGGTCATTTCACATTGTAGTGCTCAGTGGTCCTCACCTTGAACACGTCATTCACACAACGTGTCAGCTCCCATTCCTCCACAGCAGCTTGGAGATGACCCTCATCTGAAAAACACACAGGTGCACCACAGTGTTCAGCCCTGTTGGTATCCCACTCATCATCCACCTGCTGGTCCTGAGACAAAGTGATGATAGCGAGCGGGACAAACAGGACAACAACCTACTGTCTGTTCTCCTGGTAGAAGATTCATATCAACACAACCTGCACGTCTCGAGTATACACAACGTGATGCGACCCTTTCCGAAGACAACGATACATTTTATGACTAGGAGCACCAGAGCGACGGAGTTCAACTGTAGCATTAAGAGTGCTTTCACATCAGAGTACACTTGACCCCCAAAGTCCAGCTAGTGTGGTGTGAACACGGTGCAGCGCACTCAGGAGCAGCATCAGGGGTAAAAAGCAGCTGTGTCCAAAACAAGGAACCGGAATATGTTGTCATGACTGAGCTTCTGTCTCATTGGCCACAGAAGGATCTCTGTGTTCCAACCAAGGAATGAAATGCTTGCTGGAAATGTGGACGGACGAAATAATGTAAACACAACTGGATAATACACACGAAATGAGATTTATGGGATCATTTGAGACTCTGTATCAGGGTGTTCAATTAATATTCAGCGAGGTCCAGTTAGAGAATCCAAAGGTCCGGAACATCACAATAATGCCTCACTTGCGTTTTGATTAAGTCCCACATACAGGTCTCAATGAATTAGAATATCATAGAAAAGTGAATTTATTTCAGTAATTCAAATCAAAAAGTGAAACTCATATATTATATATAGATTCATTACACACAGGGTGATATACTTCAAGTCTTTATTTCTTGTAGTTTTGATGATTATGACTTACAGCTAATGAAAACCCCAAATTCTTACTTAATTTTTCAGAAACATTTATTTAACATTATGTAATCATTCAGGTGTGAAGTGATGTCAACCAAAGAGACCGTGATATTATATTCACTCTGTGGTTATTAAACCACTTGTTTCAGCTCTATCCTCTCTGTTGACATCACTGCTGGGCATGAAGTCATGCGTTAGGGTTCTGATGGAACCATCATATTGGTCTCTAAAGGTTCGAAACTTAAAGATTCTCAATTATAGGCTCAGGTCGGGATATAACGGCGTCTGGGTGCAGGCCCGGCCTACGGTCTGCCTATCAGTGACCCCTGCTCTATATCGTCTTAGATCTTGGATATGTATATATAGTAGTAGAGCATAAGTGTTGTCTTGTGTTAGTTTTAAAGGCTGCATTACAGTAATGCAATTTCTGAACTCAACAGACTGTTCTAGCGGTTCTATCATCCGTCTTCACCCAATAAGTCATAATATCCACAGGATGAATAATCAAAAATCTCACTGTGTAGAGATTTAGTAAAAGCTCCGATGGTCAACCCAACAATCTCGTCATAATAATAAAATATAATTAGATTTCCTCCATATTGCCCAGCCCTAGTGTGGCAGCTCAACTGTAGAAGAAGACATTTTGCGTGGTGTGACGACGTGGACAACATAAAACAAGTGAGCCTAACCCATCACACTACATGAACATCCCATCCAGAGAACATGGGTCGGTTAGTGCACCACGGAGCAATAGGCAGTACTTTAACGTGAGCATCCGTACTATTCTCACAACGCCTTGTTCTGAAATGATTTTAAGATGCATGCTATGTTGAGGGGATGGTCTGGTAGCTCTACACGTAGGCATGGCCGTAGCGAGCGGTGAGGTCATGGAGGTGCGGACCTTGATAATAATTTCCTAAAGAGCCCACCGTCTCTCTGCATCTGAACGACATGAAACTGCTGTAAACTGACAGCTATCAATAAGACTGTGGTGGTGTAGAACTAACCAACACTATTTACCAAACACTAGAAGGTGAAGCGCAACTGTCGTCTCTGGGACCAAACATAGATCCTTTGTGTCTTTACCAACACTAGCTCCACTCTGAATGCAACACCTAACACACACGGATATGATGGCCATGTTACTGACTGGAAGCAGTGGTGCAGCGGTGGAGCGGTCCGAGCAGAGGCGTGAGCAGGTACTGCTGGGCAAAGCTGGGCTTCTCCTGCACCATGAAGAGCACCGCCCTGGTGGCCACACGTTGATGCTGCTGGGCTGTCAGCTGGTCCTTGAAGTGCAGGAGGTCCAGGATCTTCACGACGACAACAACAAATACAACTTAAATGAGCAAATTCTTATGCAGTCCAAACTCACTCATCAGGGCTCTACAGAAGTACAGCAAGTCTAAGTTGAACCAGAGAGTGTGTCTGTAAGCTGTGATGGATGTGAACGGACAAGTGTCTTTGTTAATCAGGTGTTCTTCCACAAGATCTCTGCACGCTCACATGAAAGCCAGCGTTTGGCATCATTTGACCCTTTTAGTGCACTACACACGGCATGCTGACATACTGACTTTAGTGTGTGTGTGTATGTGTGTGCGCATTGAGCTGACCTGATGACAGACGTGTCTGTAGTAGGTGTCTGCTGAGGCAGACTGTTGAGGGCAGGTCACCAGGATCCTGGCCACACAGTCACATTTCCTCCAGTCCGAGTCGTCCCCTAGAGGACAGAAACAGTGCTTCACTTAGATCTGGAATCATCAAGTAGAAGTTCCTCTCAATAAAAAGATTCAGAATCTAAATGACAACATATTAAGCAATTGATATAGAAGCAAACAGTGTGATGGAGACAGATAAGTCAGTGACAGTAATGGCACACTGATGTTTAGCTTTAGTGCGGTTATTGTTCAGGTTAAACAGTGAACATGCATTACGTTTAGGTGGATATCTACGTCTCTACTTGTTTCAGTCAGACTGTGTTCATCACTACTTTGCCTTCTTCCCTTCTTCCATCGTTACCTCCCCTCCCGCTCACCTGTTCCTCCCTCCAAGATGGCTCTGACTACAGCCTGGACACCGTTAGGCTGCATCAGGCGCTCAGACAGCAGCTGACCACACAGACGCTTTAGCCAGGTGGGAGCTGACCTCAGGACTGCCCTGCTGCTGGAACCACGGGAGCTTCCTCCTGCAGACTACAAGGAGGGACAGCACTTAGAAAACAAAGACTCACAGACCTGTGAGCCGAACAAATACCTAAATTGGGAAATCTGAAAGTAAAAATATCCCTATTATTGTGGTTCATGTAAAGTGTGAAACCTTTTAGAGAGATGTGATAAACAAACACGAAGGCTTACCTAGATCTAGATCACAAAGACTGAATATGAAATGTACCCCGAGGACTGCTAGCAAGTACTCATGAATGTTAACACAGGTTTCAAAATGTTCTAAATGACTTTGCAAATGTTTTATGAAGATGGAAACGCACTCCTCAAGGACACAGAATGGACCCCATTCACCCATATGGGCAGAGAAATGGTCTTACTTTGCACACAAAATAAGTGTTTATTTCTCTCTCTACCCACACACACACACACACACACACACACACACACACACACACACACACGGAAATATGTTTGCCTTGAGGTTTATTGGGGAGAAAGCATCAGCTGTTGACAGAGAGAGGAGCAGAGGCCCTAACATTTAGTTTTTTAAAAGTGACAATAAAAAAAAGGCTTGAGCTGTGAGGCGGTGAATGTTGTGTCCCGTTAGATACGGACTGTTGCTCAGGTAGTAAAATATGGAATGGTCTGATATTAAAGCTCATGTAAAAAAATAAAAGAATAACAGACCAGAAGAAAACTTAGGAAACAGATGGAGGAGGAGGAGGAGGATCAAGTGATCCATCAGCTCAAGACGAGGGACTCGCTGCAATTATATGACAAACATCCTTAAGTGGGTTATGTCCAAGAAATGAGTCATTTATTTCATAATTGGACGAGGGCTGAGCCGAATATTGTGAAGCCCGATTCATACCGTTGACATTCTAAGTCAACATTTAATGCTGCGCAGCTTCTTCTTCTGCACGTCGATTCATTCTGTTGAATCTGTATTTCTGCAAAGTGTCACATAAAGATCAGGCTACAGCAATATTTTTAGTATTATACTATTTGTAGAATTAGATTTCAGTGGTGGCGGTGTCGTTTCTGACTCGTGTGATCCAAACATTCCCAATAACATTTTGAAAATCTTCAATGGAGTTTTGTCTGGATTTATCTGAAATATTCTGCTTGAACCCATATTTGTTGGCGTTAAACCTTTCAAAAGCATCTTCACTGCGGTCAAAGCGCTGCCCGCGCTTAACAGGGCGGTCGAGCAGAAATAAATTACATTTTTACAAACGCAATAACATCAAATCATGGGGATTTTTCGGGTGACCAATGCAGTAGTAAACAAACGATTTGAAATGTTTTTAATGAATGCGCTTTTAATATTTGGGGTCAAGTGTGTCGCCCAAGGACAAGGACACATCGACACTTTGCCTCTGAGCGACAGTCACACACATGATGATTCACGGATTTGTGCGCAAAACGTTTGTGCGGTTAAAGCACAACTTAGTGCACGAGTGAATGAAATCCAATGTGTTGCAAGGAGGCCCTCAAGAGCCCGCGTTAACGGGACAAACTCTCAATGCAAAGATAACTTTTGTTTGATTACAAGAAAACTCCACGGGGCAACATTAGTGATAGATCACCATACAAACCCAATCAAATCAAATGTCACAACCTACAGCGGCTCAGATGGAATTATTTAGAAACTCAAAACTGTTGCATCTTTTTGAAACAGAACTGTCTTTACTTACCATTCTGTCAGGGCTTGGATAACATTACCATCTTAACAACAACACAATGTAACTATTTTATATATTCATCAAATAAAACACCCCCTAATTGCCTCTTCCACACCCCCCTGCCCACCAAACATAGACATGCACACCTGTTTGGGTCCTTGGAGGATCAGCAGCTCCTTGATAATCATTGGTTGGTAGACTTTTCCTTGAAGGCTTTTGAGGGCCTCCCTGCAAGTTTGACATTCCTCCGCACTGAGCTCCTGCATCTGAAAAAGTTAGCAAGAAAGACAAAAAACTTTTTATTTGTCTTGACTTCATGCATCAGAGTCCTGTCATATCCTGACTTCTTACCTTCCCCTCTTCTGCCCGGCGTGGCTGGTAGCCAAGCTGGCACAATGCCGCCAACACGTCCCCCAGATGCCGTGTGAACACCAATGTGGCGAGACACGACAGCTCCGCCAACTGCAATAGAATGTTCGTGGTGGTCAAAAGGCGGCGTCCAGCTGCTGGCACCGCCCCGCCGCGGACAAGTTTGTCCACCATGGCTCCAAACGCTGACCTGCGACCCAGTGACACACCCACTCCAGTGGCCAAGTATGGGCAGAGCCCCAGAGAAACCACAAACTGAAGGGCCGCTCCAAGCGTCTGCTGCTGGGCAACACTGAGGACATCAGGGGGTAACGGTGGGGCCATCTCAGGGGTGCGTTGTCTAGCTGCAGACGGAGCTGGGGTCTGCTGGAAAAGTTTGAGTTCAGCGGACAGGTGTCGCGATAAGGTGAGGAGCAGGAGGAGACACTCCTGGACAAAACCCCAAGCGGAGTCTTCCGTGTCACCGCCGAACCAGTCTGCCACCACCATCACCTCCTCCCTCAGCCTCCTCACCTCCTCAAAGCTGCTCTCGCTCTGAAGCCGCTCATGGAGAAGGGCCCTGTTGGCCCGCAGCACTGCCAGCAGAGCCTCTTGGTGTGAGGACTGAGCATCGTGCGCAGACGCTTCTAGAGACAACACAGAGCATTGCATTGTGGGTTGTGTATGACTAACTGTACAGGATTGTTGATTGTATGTAGCCTGTTTCCAGTGTCAGTGCGTGTTCAGTGGAACTGTCACCAAACAACTTCTCATGCACCACCAGGCTAATCATTATTTATCTCAGAATTGGTTGCTGTAACGGTATAGTTTACGTTATAATTAACGTTACTGTTACCTTCGTTACATCCTCAGGCTGTCATACTAAGTTATCCACTTACCGCCAAGAGGTTTCGTAAGAATATGTATCGCTGAGAGGATAGCTGGAGTTATCGGAGTCATCTCGTCATCACATGTACATCACTTGTACTCACAGCCCTTGTTTCTGATCGAGGCCAACCTCGCCATGCCTTGGATGTACTGCGCTGCTATCGGCTGCTATAGACCATGGACGGATGCTAACAACATCTCTAAATCGCGCTCAAGTTAAACGTCATCACGCATCGTCCCATAGATATGACGTGGGCCTGCGCCCCAATCGGACTCCATGGAAGTCTGCAGAAAGTCCGCTCCAGACCCCAGCGGACTGGACCGTACACGGACCGTTGTCAGATCCCCGGCCCTGCACAGGGCAGCAGTGTCTGTTCTGATGTGGGAAGATCATCACCTTTACTCTCTTATTCACTAATAGAGAAAACTCCTCCCGTTAGAGGGATTACTTGACTCGTTTGTGGACCTCGCTCCTCCTTCCTGCTCCCTTGAGGATATCTCGTCTTTCCTGCAGGTTGTTTTGACAGTGGTCAACAGGATATATATATATATATATATATATAGGTTTTTTTGACTGTGGATATCTATATATATATATATATATATAGCAATCCTAAAGCAGAGGAAATCAATCAAGACAGTTAACAATAGCAGCAAAACAAATGTCAGCAAACGTGTTTATTAACTTGCAGTAACACATGTGACATCACAACTGTCATCTCTGTGACAGCAACATGAACACATGAGAAGGATCTACTGGTTGTCTTATTAGTGAAGGCTTTGTACAGGATGAGAGCTCATGTAACTGTAACCTTAAGTACAGGATGGTCAAATGGAGATATTACAAATGGACTAATGTCTTAATTCATGCCACGGTTGCTGAATGTTTGTCCATCGTTCTCTCCTCAGCTCCTGGCTCTCTGTAACAAAACAAGAACACAATCAGCAAAATACTCAAATTCAGTGTATCCATGTAGTTAATTTCAACGTTTGAAACGTTACTGGATTTAAAGTGATATTTCAGGTTCACAACCTGTCTACCTGAGCTCACGTTGGTCCGTTTATGTACATAATATGAAGTATAAATCATCTGTAAAATCATCACAAACTCAGTAAGATATTATTCAACCTCTGAGGTTTGAAAGTGAAGTTATTAAAAGTTACTTTACAAGTCTAACTACGGTTGGATGCAGGCAGCCGAGCTGCCGGTAATAGCGCAGCGGCTAACGTTAGCTAGCTTGTCAGTTACTAACGTCACGTAACTTAACGGATCACTTTAACACACGTGATATTATGATATCTCTTATTTTGCTTTAACATTAGTATCGGTGACATTCGAGTGAGTTGAAACCCAATACTTACATTTAAAAGTGAAAGCTGCCCCTTCTCCAACTCCCTCATCAATCGCCGCCATGTTGGATAAAATTAAATCTTCACTGGCACACAATGCATCTTAGGATATGCTGGGCCGCGAAGGATCCATCAGATGTGTCCTCCGAATCTGGGACCAGAAGGCTGCATTCGTCGGCTGCATTGAAGGAGTCTTCAGCAAACATGCGAAATGGGACAGCCTAGTCGCAGCGCTGTGATGCAACCGGTCTACGAATGCAGCCTCCGAAGGATGCAGCCCCTGAATTGAGACACACCTATAATACTTTGTAAGGAAGCTACAGTATGTCCTAAAAAAGTAAATGATTTAGAACGCAGTTTAAGACTACATCCACACTACTAAACAGAGTTTTAAAACAAAAACGATCTCCATCCACACGGCGTTTCAGCACCGTTTTCGAAATGATCTCCGTCCAGACCAACACGCCTGAAAACAAATATCACGTGACTCTTCACGTACACTGGGCATGGGGGTGGGTGTCGATGTAAACAGGAAGTAGATTGGTTGCTTAGCTAAAATAATAGGACAGAGTAATAAAGTAGTCTTTAATAATGAAAGGTCGTGTTTGATACTTAAGATCTTCTCTAAAATCTTCCTCTATGAACTCAAACAGACACATTTCGTGGAAAGTTTTAGAAGTTTTATTTACTTAACGTTAGTTACAGCGCTGCAGGTCTTGCTCTCTCTCTCTCTCTCACATCAAATTCACTTTAAAATCAACACTTACACGTAACAGTTTACTAGATTATGGGTCCATAAAAGTGGTCAACACACGTCTCTCACTCGTTTCCTCTCGGTGTTGTTGTTCTCACTCGTAGCTCTGCTGGTGTCTGAACTATCTGTCCAACTGGAGAGCAATTCATGTTTTGTTCCTTTACATTTTGTCTGCGGACTTCACAATAGTTGTGCAGAACAAAATAAGCATTAATAAGAAAAGGAAAGTCCTCTGTTTTGTGTTCACCACCCTCCCTAAAGCCGCTAACCGTGACGTCAGACATCCGCTCCGTAGGTCTGATAACGCCGCTGATCACACCGCTTGCTAATCGCTCCAATAACAGCTGCTTCCTCCGTAATCACAACAGACTGATCCAGCTCCGCTGTCACAAGGACAGATACAGGAGAACATTCCTGCACTCTGCTATAACACTTTATAATAAATCACCTCTGGCCAGATCATCATCCTTCAAAATGACTACAACAACGCTACACGGTTGTTGCTAGTTGTTGGTGATCCTTGCTCTACTGTTTCGTTTATTTAGTTTACCTAGTTGTTCATTTAATACCATTCTAATTCAGTGTATATATTGTGCATTTTTATTTTTTATTCTATCTTATCTTATTTTTTATTATTCTATTTCTTCAAATTCAATATCTGCTCTGTTGTTTTATTGTACTGTATATATTGTGCATTTCCATATGTTATATTTTATTTACTCTGTAAATTGCTGCTGCTACAAACTAATTTCCCCCTGGGGATGAATAAAGTTTCTATCTATCTATCTGTCTAATAATGCAGACTTTAACTGAACAACAGGTGCTAGTAAAGACAACAAGGTCAGCAACACCTGTAATCAGTTGTCCATGTTAAATTAACCTGGTAGTCGATCGGTAATCAATGTTGTTGTTTATGATTTCCGGTCACGTGATAGCGAGTGTGACTCAGGGAATGACACGCTAAGAACATGACAGTCATGACTGCTAAGAACCAATCAAGTAGTGAACGCGGGTGTGGGCGTCATCGTTTCTAAAGTATCCGTTTTCGACCGTCCACACGAATACGCAACCCGGAGTTTTCAAACTTATCCGTCATCGGGAGCGTTTTCAAACTCCTCCATTTTTGGTGCTCGAAAACGCCGGCGTAGTGTGGACGCTCAGTGTAAACGTAGCAAAACATATGTGTTTTCAAATGGAAACAGAGTAGTGTGGACGTGGCCTAAGACTCACTAAGACAACAGAGTCTGACCTGAGAGTCTGACCTCTAAAACCAGCCACACCAAAGTTCAGAGGTGAGATGACCATCTCTACCTGTCCATGACTCAAAGTCTTTCATTCACTGACTCTGTTTCTACACATGTGACCAGGATCCATCAGGGACCACACTGTCCTGGACCTGAACCCAGCTGTGTCCATGAAGAGTGACCGGTCTATGGCTCGTCCTGTATCCTTCAAAGATGGACGCCACTCTGTTGATCAAAGGTGAGGATTTCAAACTGATGATGAAAACCAAACCAAACTGACAGGTGAAGAAAACAGTGAGCTGAAAGACTGAGCTGTTGATTCTCAGTGGGATCAGCAGGACTAGTAGACCTTTACCACTACAGGGACTCATCTGATCCACATCCAGATATCACTTCATGGACCTTTACCTTGTGTTCGTCTCTGTGTGGACAGACACAATGTGAGCTCATTCTTCATGATCAAGTTCAAGATGGCGCCGCGGATGGCAGCCTCGGTACTGCGCTCTCTCGTACTTTTTCTGTTTTTGTTTGTTTTTCTTGTTTCCGGCTCTCCCTCTCTGATCACATTCAGTAGGAACTTTTAAACATCCGTCTATCAACTGGCCAAACCTTTTCGCAGCATTTCATCGAACCAGAAAGTTTTTCAGAGATTTTAGTTGGGGGAGCAGCGGCTCTACTCGGAATTTATCGGAGATGCCGAGGAGGAAAGCGAGCAGGAGTGCTCGTTAATCTGCGTCGACGGGGACTCAGAACTGCGCTCCCGTCAATTCACCTGGCGAATGTCTGCTTTCTGGCCAACAAGATGGATGAGCTGCTGCTCCTCAACAAACTAAACAGACTTTAGCAGATCCGCCGCCCTGTGCTTCACTGAAACCTGGCTTGGTGAGCACATTCCGGACAGCGCACTACATCTGCCGGGCTTCCAACTCCTCCGAGCGCACCGCGTAACGGCTCTGTCGGGAAAAACGAGGGGAGGCGGAATCTGCTTCTACATTAATGAAGGTTGGTGCACTGATGTCACAATGTCAAAGGAATCATGCAGCCGTCACTTAGAAAACCTTTTCATAGACTGCAAACCTTTTTATTCGCCGCGGGAGTTCTCCTCATTCATTCTGGTCGGTGTCTACCTCCTCAGGCCTGTGTGAGTGAGGCGCTCCAACACCTGGCTGAGCAGATCAACAACACGGAGCACAAACAACCAGACTCCCTGCTCATTGTTCTTGGGGACTTTAACAGAGCAAACCTCTGCAAAGAACTGCCTAAATACAGAGAACATATTAAGTGTCGCACCAGGGACAAAACACACTGGACCACTGCTACACTGTAATAAAGGACACATATCACTCAGTCACCCGTGCAGCTCTGGGACTCTCTGATCATTGTCTGGTTCATCTTCTCCCGACCTACAGGCAGGAAGTAAAATCTGCAAAGCCTGTGGTGAAGACTGTGAGGAGATGGACCAATGAGGCAAAGCTGGAATTACAGTCCTGCTTTGCCTGCACTGATTGGAGTGTTTTTCAGGCTGCTGCTACAGACCTGGATGAGCTCACTGACACTGTGACATCATACATCAGTTTTTGTGAGGACATGTGTGTGCCGAGAAAAACCTTCTGCACATTCAACAACAATAAACCTGGTTTACTGTAAGACTCAGGCAGCTTCGTCGGGCTAAGGAGGAGGCCTACAGAAGTGGGGACAGGATCCTGTACAATCAGGCCAGAAACACACTGACGAGGGAGATCAGGTAGCAAAGAGGAGCTACACTGAAAAGCTGGAGAAAACGTTTTCAGCCAACAACCCCTCGTCAGTGTGGAGAGGCCTGGAAGTACTCACCCTACAGGAGACCACCCCCCCACCCACTGAGGACAATCACCAACTAGCTGACAACCTGAATGTCTTCTACTGCAGGTTTGATAAGCCCACTTCAACACCCCCCACCTGCCCCATCATCAAACAACCACATACACCCCCTGCCTCCTCCTCATCTCCCCCAACCGACCCCCCATCGGCACTGAGGATCTGCGAAGAGGATGTGAGTCGGCTCTTCCACAGACAGAAGATCAGGAAGGCACCGGGCCCAGACGGTGTGTCACCCTCCTGCCTGAAAGTCTGTGACCAGTTGGCCCCCATCTTCACACAGATCTTCAACCGATCACTGGAGCTGTGTGAAGTCCCCTCCTGCTTCAAACGCTCCGCGATCATCCCGGTTCCCAAGAAATCCTCCATCACAGGATTAAATGACTACAGGCCCGTCGTCCTGACGTCTGTGGTCATGAAATCCTTTGAGAAACTGGTGTTGACCCATCTGAAGGACATCACAGGGCCCCTGCTGGACCCCTTGCAGTTTGCCTACCGGGAAAACTGTCATGATTAGGCTTTGCCTTCTGTGTTCTGTGTGTGTCTTTGTGTAGCTCCACCCTCCTCAATCTACCTGTCAGCCACTCCCTCAGCACCAGTCTAACTCCCTTCACCTGCCCCTGATCACTAATCAAGCACTCCCTCATCAGCACAACTCTCCTCTCTTGTTCTAGCCACTATTTAAACCCCTGCCTCTCAGTCACTCACTGACTGATCATTGCCATGTCTACCCGCCCGTTTGGCTTTTCCTGTTCCCGGTTTCCTTAGTCTGCCTGCCCTGCCTCGTCCTGCTGGATTTCCCCCCTCATCTCTTGTCTCGTCCATGGATTCCCTGTGTGTTCTTGTAAGTGTGCTGTTCGCATTTAAGTATTCATTAAATTCCTGCTTCACTACTTCTGGTCTCGTCTGCGTTTGAGTCCTCCACCACACGCAGTGACACAAACAGGTCGGTGGATGATGCAGTAAACATGGGACTGCACTACATGCTGCAACACCTTGACTCCCCAGGGTCATATGCAAGGGTTCTGTTTGTGGACTTCAGCTCAGCGTTCAACACCATCATCCCAGCAATACTCCAACCCAAACTCTCCCAGCTCACTGTGCCAGCCTCCACCTGTCAGTGGATCACAAACTTCTTGACTGACAGGACGCAGCAGGTGAGGCTGGGAAAAATCACATCCAGCACTCGGACTATCAGCACTGGCGCCCCCCATGGATGTGTGCTCTCCCCACTGTTCTTCTCCCTCTACACCAGGGGTCACCAACCTTTTTTAAACTGAGAGCTACTTCAAAGGTACCGAGTAGTATGAAGGGCTACTTATTTGATACAAACTTCCTGAATAACAAAGTTGCACAGATCACCTTAATAATAATAATATATGTGAAGAGACTGTTTGATCACATGTCAGTTAATTATTCCTCACAATAATTATTAATAATGATTTCCACAACAATGATGGTATAGCTACACATACATATTTAAACATGCAACTTTTATTTCTGTTAATCTGTTTCAACATTTGAAAGTCAGAGGTATCACATCTCTGATATTTTTGTATCATCACATGATCAAAGCCGGTTACTTTTGCACATAGTGCCTGCTGGTGAATGATGCAGTGGTAATGTAGACATTTTGCGAAGTCTGGGTCACCTTTGCATTGCGCAATGAAGCCTGCATGCCGGCCCATCATCGCGGGAGCCCCGTCTGTTATCACCGACACCAGCTTTTCCAATGCTACCTTTTTCTCCACGAAGAAACTAGTAACCAGTCTCGTCTATAGCCGAGCGGGGGATCCAACCCTCCGAGGCGTTCAAACCTCTAGTCTGGGCCTTTTCGATCGGATTGCGTTGCCTCGCCTCTACCCCCGCTACCCCTGAGTTGTTGCCCCGCGGCCTGTTCCGAGGATTTACGGACCTGACGACGGGGTGCGCTCACGGCTCGCGTCTGGCACCAACGGGATGCTCCCGCCATTCAGAACCTGAAAACCTAGTGCGGTGCGGCAGCCTCGTCCTGGCTGTCCGCCGTGCGCCTCCAGGTACCCAACTCTCTTAACTCTCTGCATGCGTTTTTGATTAAAAAAGAACAGCAACTACAATTTTAGACGGAGCTCCACAATGACTAGTGCTATTTTTAGAACATGTCTTGCGGGCGACTCACGTGGTCCCTGCGGGCGACAGGGTGCCCGCGGGCACTGTGTTGGCTACCTCTGCTCTACACCAATGACTGCGCCTCAGAGGACCCGACTGTTAAACTTCTGAAGTTCGCAGACGACACAATGGTCATCGGCCTCATCAGGGACGGTGATGAGTCTGTGTACAGACTGGAGGTTGAACAGCTGGTCCTCTGGTGCGGTCAGAACAACCTGGAGCTGAACAAGCTCAAAACTGAGGAGATGACAGTGGACATTCAGGAGGAGCCCCCCAACACTGCCCCCCCCCCCTCATCATACTCCACAACACTGTGTCTGCTGTGGAGACCTTCAAGTTTCTGGGATCCACAATCTCCCAGGACCTGAAGTGGGCCCCCAACATCAACACCATCAGGAAAAATGCCCAGCAGAGGTTGTACTTCCTGCGCCAGCTCAGGAAGTTGATTCTGATGATGTGATGATGATGATGATGATGATGAGGTAATGTCAGTGTTTCAGTTCACAACAGCAGAGAGAAAAGTCTCTTGTACCCAGCTGTGTGTCCATGAAGAGTGATTGGTCTAATGGTCGTATGATTGACTCCAAAGATGGACGCCATTCTTATGACCCAGCGTAAGTTCTTAAAACGGATGAAACAGATGACTACCTGTTAATCTGATACAACTTTGGTCATCTATCATTTATAGTCTTTGATCTGTCATTATGATCATGACATGATGCAATATCTTAAACTAATTATTGTAGGTTTTACATCAGACAGGAAGTAGCATTCTGGATATGTCACAAACCGGGCCGAACGGCCATGACAAAGAAAAGGGAGACGCATTCAATGAAGCAGTTGATTAATTATTTATTAAGTTCAAAGTAATATAAAAGACAAACATAAACTAACAGTGACATGTGAAGTCAGTCATTTCAGCAGTGCAAGTGAGTGAGTGGGTGCGTGTAAAGTGTATATGCAGTGTTGTATAGTGTAAAAACTAGCCGAAACCAAAGTGGGTGTCTTAGGAAGGAGCCAGCGACCAGTTGATAATCCAGAGGGTTTTTATACTGGGTGCTCTGGCACACAGGGCCAGTGTTGCTTATGGCCTCAGGTGCTTCCACTCTGCCTGACGACCCTCTGCCACACCCACCTCCACACCTGCAAGGAAGGCAGCCAAACGAACAGGCAGAGAGGGTCGTCACAGATATAATCCTAAATCTAGTTGCAGAGGTCTGGAGACTAGAAACACTCGGAGGAGGAAGTCTCCGCAATGGTGCTGTGGCCAAAACCAAACACAGACCCTTTGTTTCAGTGATGTGGCAGATCAACAGTATTAAGTCTTGGTACATCTGACTAACAACACAATGGTAGAATAGAAACTACACCAAATATGAAAAGTATCACATCAGATGTGATTCTAGTTGTAGTTGTATCTCGGGGTGGAAGGTATATAAAGTAAACCGGTATGAATTTGACCTACAATATCATTTTTGACAATACCTTGCTGCCAATAAAATAACTTTTACTGTCCAATAAAAGCAGAGATAAGAATCTGTTTTCATTGTGATCAATCATGACAGAACACAACATCTTTAACTAATTATTTTATTTGTGTTAATGGTACAAACACAATGTGAGCTGATTCTTCATGATTCCTCCACAGAGAGGACCAGGAGAGCTCAGAGTTTCCCAGAGGTCAGTCTGCTCAGCAGCATCAAACACACCTGGACTCCATATTTATGGTCTGTACATGTACAACTACTTTTACATCTATTGTGTTCACAATCATCTCCATGCTGCACTTTGTAGACCAGTGGATCGTCAGTCTGTCCAACATGGATCTAATGTTTGGTTCCATGGTTTTAGTTTGTGTCATTCATAGAATGTTCTGTTCCAGCTGCTGGAGGAGAACATCGTCACTTTTGTGAAGAACGAGCTGAAGAAGATCCAGAAGGGACTGAGTTCAGATTACCCAGAATGCTTAGAGAGTCAGAGGGAGGATGAAGAGGTGTTGGATGGTGTGGATGAAAACCAGAGGAGGAGCAGCAGAGAGGCATTTGTGAAGATCACAATAAACTTCCTGAGGAGAATGAAGCAGGAGGAGCTGGCTGACTGTCTGCAGAGCAGTAAGAAGATTTCTCTAAAGATTCAACATGCTGGATCAATGGGACGTTTACTAATGTCTCAAGAGATGGACCAACATATATTCAGATATGTTGACATTTGCCTCGTAATTTATTAATTGATGTTCTCTGTTTTTATTCAGGAAGTCATTCGGGAGTTTGTCAACATGAACTCAAATATAACCTGAAGAAGAAGTTCCAGTGTGTGTTTGAGGGGATCGCTAAAGCAGGAAACCCAACTCTTCTGAATCAGATGTACACAGAGCTCTACATCACAGAGGGAGGGACTGCAGAGGTCAATGATGAACATGAGGTCAGACAGATTGAAACAGCATCCAGGAAACCACACAGACCAGAAACAACCATCAGACAAGAAGACCTCTTTAAAGCCTCACCTGGAAGAGAGGAACCAATCAGAACAGTGATGACAAAGGGAGTGGCTGGCATTGGGAAAACAGTCTTAACACAGAAGTTCACTCTGGACTGGGCTGAAGACAAAGCCAACCAGGACATACAGTTCAGATTTCCATTCACTTTCAGAGAGCTGAATGTGCTGAAAGAGAAGAAGTACAGCTTGGTGGAACTTGTTCATCACTTCTTCAGTGAAACCAAAGAAGCAGGAATCTACAGCTTTGAAGGGTTCCTGGTTCTGTTCATCTTTGACAGTCTGGATGAGTGTCGACTTCCTCTGGACTTCCACAACAATGAGGTCCTGACTGATGTTACAGAGTCCACCTCAGTGGATGTGCTGCTGACAAACCTCATCAGAGGGGAACTGCTTCCCTCTGCTCACCTCTGGATAACCACACGACCTGCAGCAGCCAATCAGATCCCTCCTGAGTGTGTTGGCATGGTGACAGAGGTCAGAGGGTTCACTGACCCACAGAAGGAGTACTACTTCAGGAAGAGATTTAGAGATGAGGAGCAGGCCAGCAGGATCATCTCCCACATCAAGACCTCACGAAGCCTCCACATCATGTGCCACATTCCAGTCTTCTGCTGGATCACTGCTGGAGTTCTGGAGGATGTGGTGAAGACCAGAGAGGGAGGAGAGCTGCCCAAGACCCTGACTGAGATGTACATCCACTTCCTGGTGGTTCAGTCCAAACTGAAGAAGGTCAAGTATGATGGAGGATCTGAGACAGATCCACACTGGAGTCCAGAGAGCAGGAAGATGACTGAGTCTCTGGGAAAACTAGCTTTTGATCAGCTGCAGAAAGGGAACCTGATCTTCTATGAATCCGACCTGACAGAGTGTGGCATCGACATCAGAGCAGCCTCAGTGTACTCAGGAGTGTTCACACAGATCTTTAGAGAGGAGAGAGGACTGTACCAGGACAAGGTCTTCTGCTTCGTCCATCTGAGTGTTCAGGAGTTTCTGGCTGCTCTTCATGTCCATCTGACCTTCATCGACTCTGGAGTCAATCGGCTGTCAGATGAACAAACAATCTCCTGGTGGTCTAATATCTCTAGAGGCAAACCTGAACAAACACATCTCTACCAGAGTGCTGTGGACAAGGCCTTACAGAGTCCAAATGGACACCTGGACTTGTTCCTCCGCTTCCTCCTGGGTCTTTCACTGGAGACCAATCAGACTCTCCTACGAGGTCTGCTGACACAGACAGGAAGTAGCTCACAAACCAATCAGAGAACAGTCCAGTACATCAAGAAGAAGTTGGAGGATAATCTCTCTGCAGAGAGAAGCATCAATCTGTTCCACTGTCTGAATGAACTGAATGATGGTTCTCTAGTGGAGGAGATCCAACAGTCCCTGAGTTCAGGACTTCTCTCCAGACGTAAACTGTCTCCTGCTCAGTAGTCAGCTCTGGTCTTCATCTTACTGTCATCAGAAAAAGATCTGGACGTGTTTGACCTGAAGAAATACTCTGCTTCAGAGGAGGCTCTTCTGAGGCTGCTACCAGTGGTCAAAGCCTCCAACAAAGCTCTGTAAGTACAGAGAGAGTTAGATTAATATATCATAACTTATATACGCTGCTGTCTTTTCTACTTATTGTTTATTTTTTCTTCATCATTGTCTCTTCAGACTGAGTGACTGTAACCTCTCAGAGAGAAGCTGTGAAGCTCTGTCCTCAGTTCTCAGCTCCCAGTCCTCTGGTCTGAGAGAGCTGGACCTGAGTAACAACAACCTGCAGGATTCAGGAGTGAAGGTGCTGTCTGCTGGACTGGAGGGTCCACATTGTACACTGGAGACTCTCAGGTGACCCTGTGAATTACTTTTCTTGGACTAAGTACTAAGTTTAAAGTTTACACACAAACAGATTGGTGATGACAGTAATAAACATAAACCTTCCAGCGCTCACAGTTTCCTCAGATTATGTGACATGTGTGTTGTTTTGTGTGTTTGCAGTCTGTCAGGCTGTCTGATCACAGAGGAAGGCTGTGCTTCTCTGGCCTCAGCTTTGAGCTCCAACCCCTCCCATCTGAGAGAGCTGGACCTGAGCTACAATCATCCAGGAGTGAAGCTGCTGTCTGCTGGACTGGAGGATCCTCACTGGAGACTGGAAACTCTCAGGTATGAAGAGACCTGCTGCAGCCACCGACAATCAGTCTGATAGAGGAGGTAGAGCTGGAGACTTTTTCTCTCTTACACTGTCAACCTGGTTAATATGACCCTGACACACCAAGCTGACCTCAAACTACCAGAGACTCATCAAACTGTTTGTGTCCCACATCAGACCATCAATACAGACAGAAGTAGTCAGGGAACAGTAGCAAGGATGAGCCAAAACAGGGAGGGAAGGTGATGAAATTGTTGTTTTTCTGGAGCGTTGTCTTGTTTCAACATTAGAAAATAGGACAGTGATGTATCCTGACACGTTGACGGGCATCATGGTGGGTTGACATGAGTCAACGTCGTCACGCTGAAGGTTTGTGGGCTCATATCAAACAATAGATTGA